ACGTTTATTTCACTGTATTTTCCCATCAAAACTCTTCGCTGAATGTATTAAGCCGATTCCTTACCTTTTCAGCTTAAATCTGATTACATTTTTACGACTGTGAATTCCTGTTATACCATATATTTCTTTAAATGAAATATACATACTACAAAATACGGCTGATTTCGAGTTGCCGATAATAGAACAGCTGGTTAACACGCAGTTCAAATGGAAAGGGTGCCGAAGAAAAAGAGACTGCCGACAATATTTAGTCACTCTCACCTGAGAAGTTTGGAGCGTTGTAAAAACATGTTCAACCCGTTTTGATCAATTCTGTCGATTGGAATTGGTAGAACAGCAAGCAGCAGATAAATGTCAACAAACAAACCTGTCATGTATGTGTGTGACGCTGAGAAATCGCTAATAGAAGTTCGGACGCTGCTTAGATTGACGAGAATACGTAAAATACATTCCCTCTACAGAATCTCCTATTAATAATTTTAAAAATCAATTAATTTTCAAAATTGAACCACAATCAAATTATAAATTATCAATATATTTTGGTAGATATAAAAGACACATATTCTCAGTAATTTTGAGTAATCCTGATGGAGAATCCATTGAGTAAAAATGACCTAACGATCAATCGAATGGAATAGGTAAAAAATACCCAACGTACTAGCATGCAACCGGTGTTCGTTGCAACTTTTTTTTGTCACTACCCCCTACGGATACCATACATAAACGATATCATAGATGGTACGACCATACCGCATAGAGTTGGGATGATATCCTGAATTGGTGATTAGGCGTTTCTGATGTTTATGCGGGATATGTACCAAACACTAACGAAGACTAATGCGAGGACTAATTGAGCAGGAACGGAGGCGATGGAGCACAAACAAATGACAGCGTCGATGGCAGTGCAGGTGGCTATGATTTTTATCCAAAATTAAGTTAAAAGTACTCAACGGTGAAACCATAACGGTTGAGTACTATTAACTGAAAATTGAGTTTTTTTTTACTTTGAATCGCAGCGTGTTTTAGTTGAACGGAATGCATCGATAAATATTTCAGGTTATTCTCCGTAAATTACTTTACGCAATACTAACATGACTTTTAAACAACTACGGAAAGTACTAATTCAATCAATAATGACAAATACTACGTTTTGAGCTAAACGATGATTAACAGAAAATTAACTTAAATTTGAGTTCATCTATTATTACTCAATAGATAAGTAAATTTGACCCATCGCCGCTTTTCTGATTCACTCAACGGTAGACCTCAAATGATAGAACCCAACGGTGAGTTTTTTTTAAACTTAATTGTGAGTATTTTTTTCTTACCGTGAACTTTTTGGCTCAGCTCTGGTACTATCTTCGGTCCCAAGTTAATCGATTCACCCCTCAAAACATAGGAAAATCCACTAACCCCTCATTTTATCTGTCAAACTTTCATAGCGAATCAAAACAAACATAGTGTAGTACTGGAAGTTATACTAGAATGGGGTACGTTAGTCGATTTGCTTGGGACCAATAGGCTAGTCAAGTAGTGAGCCAATTTAAAATCGTTAGTTTCGTATTGATTGTTGGTATTAGCCTATGAGTCCATCTACCGTTCTCTGCCGTGTCTCATTGCTGCTGTCTGTTTTTTTAACTCTTTATTTGTTACATTTCTAATTTCATTTCACTTTAATCTGGTTGTTTCTACAGTAACTTACCAGCCTTAATTGTTATGATATATATCTAAGTGTGTTTACATTGTTCCTGCTTTGGCAGTTCAGTATTTTAAACAGGTTTTCATACCTGCATGTCAGTATAACAATTGTCATCTAAAATAAAAATAAACAAAACTAAATGTCATCTAAGTATGAGGGGAATAATTGCAGAAATTGAAATTGTTAATTATTTTGTTGGACAGTTGTTCTAAAGTCTCAATATTTGAAATTCTATGTACCTCGTAGTACTGTAGCAGGGAGAAGTTTTTTTTCTTTAGGCAAAGTTTTGATTTCCTGTTTATAAGAGGATACAAACATTTTATATATTTCTTACATTTGGCTTGAATGCTTGCAACAAGATCTTTAAAATCAAATTTTTGGCGAAGTACTAGTCCAAGATGTTTCACTTTGTTTGACCAGGAAATTAAAATTCCGTTTATAGTGACTATGTGACTACTACTAGGCATACAAAAGTATGTTCTAGACTTATGTGGGACTATTATAAGTTGAGTTTTGGAAGTGTTGGGATAAATTTTTGTAAATAACTATGTACTGTGTGTGACATATAACTGCTTTCATGTAGCATTCATTAGATTTTATGTGTGATCACACCAACCTGGTCTATACAAGCTGTGGAATTGTAGGCCTGAATGTATTGGTGCACTTCGTTTTTCACCCGGCTTCATTCTGCTTCGCACGATTCGTTTCTTTCGTTCACTCAATTATCCTTGTAGTGACGTCATAAAGTTTGTTTCGATCGGCGCTTGCATAGGAAATTTACTATGGATTATAGAATTTAGCAAAATATCTAGGATTTGTTTTACTTCTTATTTCGCAAATTTGCTTTCGAGTGTTATGACGTCGCCACCATCGTCTACCGCAAAGTTTACATTTTTCCCTCTACCAGCACATACGTCAGGGCTAGATCTCCACACCTTGTATAGACCAGGTTGTGATGGATAATATGGTTTATGGCACATGGTTTTCATTTGATAATTTATATTTCTAATTGTTTGTTTACATTATATTAAAATGTTCGGAGAATATTTTTCGCATGGATCGTTAGTAAATCAAAAAAAAAAGTCATAAAAATATGTGAAACTTAAAAGAGTGCGGGATGTTTTATTGAATCTTCCTCCAAGTGATTATTCGGCAGAACATTTAATTTGCATTACTGCGCTGACCTCCAACTGACTTGGAATATTTTTCAAGTCGTCCTTTGTTTCCTAAATTATCGATGTTTACTCAAACTCTTCGCCCACATATAATGTAACATTGTGTAAAACATATAATTATACTTATTTTTGTCATATTTACCCTCAAAAACGTACAGTAACTAGTCAGGTTAATCCAAATATTCGAGCACAACTTTCGCGAACTGGTTTTGGAACGTTTTCAATCTCCTCTCAATTTTGCACTTCGTTCTTCCATGGTCAGGCATAAGGTGAGATTGTTTTTATGTGTGCCCACACATAGTTTTTTTTTGCTATATGCCAGTACCTGTAACGTTTATGTGCGGTACACAAATTTCTCATATGTAAAGCTAATGACATACATATATGTGTAGATTATAAATATTAATGTGTGGAGCGTTTTATGGAAATAATGTGTGAAATCACATAAATAAAATCTTTGCTGTTTTATCAGTGTACAGGAGTAGGGGTAGACGGGGCAAGATCGCCACCTGGGGCAAATTGAGCATATTTTAAGTTTACATGCATAAACTTATATTTTTAGAAACTGCACATAAAAGCGAGGGGGGCGACACATCTAAATCTCAAGTTTAGATGCTCAATAAATCTCATACTTGCGAATCAATCTTCGAAAAATCTTCTTTTATTTGTCGCATCTACTTGCATCGCTCATCATCTTTTTGCAGGAAATCTTCAGAATAGCCATCAATCTTCTTTCTATCTACTCAGTGTGCGCCCAGCTTGTAGTAAGAATTTGTAATTAAAGGGTGATACGGTCAAAATTTGGTCAATATCAACTTGACGTATTTCTTTCAATTTTGCATTTAAAAAACCTGAACACCCCTCATTTTGAAGGTGTGTGTGTAGAATGTATCTCCTATTTTGATTTTGGAATTCACTCTTTAGTTGTCAAAATGCCGTCCAAGCAAGAAGAGCAGCGTATCAAAATTTTGCTCGCGCATCGCGAAAATCCGAGCTACTCGCACGCAAAGTTGGCAAAATCGCTAAAAGTTGCCAAATCAACCGTTACAAATGTAATTAAAGTGTTTGGGGAACGTTTGTCGACAGCCAAGAAGTCTGGATCGGGGGGAAATCGAAAACCGGAAGCCGCTGAGACGACAAAGAGAGTTGCCGGTAGTTTCAAGCGAAACCCTAACCTCTCTCTCCGAGATGCCGCAAATAAGCTGGGTGTATCGTCTACAACCGTGCATCGAGCCAAAAAACGAGCCGGACTATCGACTTACAAGAAGGTAGTGACTCCAAATCGCGATGATAAACAAAATACGACGGCCAAAGCGCGATCCCGGAGGCTGTACACGACGATGCTGACAAAGTTTGACTGCGTGGTAATGGACGACGAAACCTACGTCAAAGCCGACTACAAGCAGCTTCCGGGACAGGAGTTTTATACGGCAAAAGGAAAGGGAAAGGTAGCAGATGTTTTCAAGCACATGAAACTGTCAAAGTTCGCAAAGAAATATCTGGTTTGGCAAGCCATCTGTACCTGTGGCTTGAAAAGCAGCATTTTCATAGCTTCCGGGACTGTCAACCAAGAAATTTACGTGAAAGAGTGTTTGAATAAACGTCTGCTGCCTTTCCTGAAGAAACACGGTTGTTCCGTACTGTTTTGGCCGGATTTGGCATCTTGCCATTACGGTAAAAAGGCCATGGAGTGGTACGCCGCCAGCAACGTGCAGGTGGTTCCCAAGGACAAGAACCCTCCCAACACGCCAGAGCTCCGCCCAATTGAGAAATACTGGGCTATTGTCAAGCGGAACCTAAAGAAGACCAAAAAAACTGCTAATGGCGAGCAGCAGTTCAAGGCAAACTGGCTTTCTGCGGCGAAGAAGGTGGACAAGGTGGCTGTACAAAATCTGATGGCAGGGGTCAAGCGTAAGGCCCGGCAATTCGGATTTGGAAAAGCGGAAGCCTAACTGAATATTTTTCCTGAATTTTATACTAATTGAACTTGAAAAAGAAATTTAATTTGATTTTTTAAATAAACGATTTCACCGATTTACACGCGTTTTCCCTTGACCAAATTTTGACCGTATCACCCTTTATCAATAAAAAATTTCAAGTATCTATTGCTACAACTTTCAATTTATTGTTCAACCTGGTGCGAGTATTTTGTTTTGACTAAGATAATTCAAAAAAATCCAAAAATATCACATAAAAATACGTTCTACTATGGGTGAACGTCCTGCCCGTAGGAATGCTCACCTTGTCCCGGGACGTCAGAGAACGGGTTAAAAAAAGTTACTTTGTTAATTACATTGAATTGTATCAAAACATAGGTTCTAGAGACGTAGGTAATGTATCAATACAATATGTATTATTACATATAAAAATGCCATCAAGCTTAAAGTGGCCATTTTATCCCGTTCTCCTAAAGTGCAATTTAGCGGTTAGCGGATTAGCTATTTATAATCTTGTTTGCTTTATTGTCAAGTTTCATTTTAAAAAGTCACACTTATAATAGTACAGGCAGTCAAATATTGTTTGCCAAAGTTGGTAATAATAATTTTCGGAAGTTTCCTCTCGTTGCACTCGCAGCTGTCGGTCGATGTTGAGGTACTGCCGAGCCATTAGTGGATTCCGATCATTGTAAGGATGCCATATTGTCTGATTGATTTTGCCATTGTTCGGTGGCGTCGGGTTCCTAAAACAGAAAAAAAACGGAAATAGCAAAGTCAGTTAGTGCAGAAAGAATTGAATCTCACGACGGGAATCAAATAAGGGCGATAAAATATTTGTATTCAATAAATAACATGCCTGGCGTTCGTGGCACTCCGTTCGATTTCGATTCGATACACGTCCGCACTTGGTGTCGGTCTCTATGTATGGTGATAATATTATGTGGTTCCCCTTCCTCGTTGCGGAAGCGGAAGTAGCGTGAGCGTTTGTCATTTCGGAGATGTGTGTGAATAAAATACGTTTGAGAGCCGAAAAAATGAATGCCGAATTTGTGTAATGGTTTGTAATCGAAGTGCTTTGAGAGGCGAAGTCTGGGAAAAGAAGATATCTTGTCGTGAATAGCTGGTATGCTTTGCCAATCGTTTCTTTTTTTGAATATTCATGAAATTGGCTGTAAAAGCACAGCAATTGCCAGAATGGCTTCTATTGTTAAACGGAAGACGTGCCGGTTTTTCAATCTACGAATCAGTGATTGAAAGAATTGAAACATTTTATGCATAAAAAAGAACAATTTTTTGAAGCCATTGGAGATGTCAATTGAAAGGTGGATGATTGCTTTGACTCTGATTGGAACGGTGCACCAGCTTAGGATTGCCTTTGATTGATACTTAACTACCTTTTAATTATTTTATTTTCAGTATGTCATTCAATATCAAATATATCAAGTACGAGCGTTCATTGAGCGTTATGCTTTTGCTAATTGTTCATCCGAGTGGCAAGCTTTGTGTTGACTGACTGTCAAACTCTATCGAAGTGAATTGAAATCAATCGTGTTATCGTGATTGATAACATGATTGATAAAATATTACTAAGAAAAGGAAACTTCCGAGTTAGTCAAAAAATAACTCATGAAGGAGGAACTATCAGCCTTCGCAAAAAAAAAGAATGTTTGAAGCAGTGTTTGAAAAATCATTCTCAAATCTCACTCATTGAGTCCTCATGAGATAATCAACTCGAATGCAAATCTGCAAACAAATCTTTCGCATTTTTTACGTAAGAACGCATGAATTTTACAATAATCTCAAACAATCTCAATAATCTTGAACATTGGTTTGAAGACATGAACATGGTGAAAATGATAAAATTAAATTATAATACGATACGCTTAAAGTGCATTCATATGGCTATCATTTATCCTGTGGATAATGATTATAAATTTGAAACGAAAGTAAGATAACAAACTTAATGTAATCGTTTAATAATTAAACACCCAGCAAGGTTGCATAAACAGTGTCTTAATTAAATTAATTAGGCTAATTAGGTGTAACTGACGTTATAGACTGCGCGTTGCTTCATCGAACGTTACGGGGCTTTTCATGTCGGTTGGACACTAACCGGGTAGTACCGATGCTGAAACTGTGGCATAGCTTTGGTTGAACGGTAGGACCAACTTGTTTACCAGGGGCGCTACCAGAGCAAAGTTCTTGATGACAGCAAATTGAAATCAAGTTTTGATATCAACATCAAACTGAAATCATAATTTGTTTACAGTTTACGCAATTGACAATCTTTGATACCTAATTTTGTTTTCATTTTGCTGTAATTTGCTCTTCAAAAATATGTTTTTGCAGGTTTGGTTTTATTGCCTAAGCAATACCTCAAATTGAATACTTGTTATGTTATCAACAGGAAAAATGGATATCAAATTTGGTTTTCAGTTTGCTCTCACTGATAGCAGAAATAGTTTTCAATGTGATGTCACAGGAAGATTTGTTTGCTCTCAATTTTGATATTTTAACCGTTAAAACGACCAAAACGACAGCAACCTGAGTAATCATTATCAGCGAAATCAAAACATCAAATTTAGATTTCAATTTGATCTCAGACTTTGCTCGGGTAGTCTGACAAAGTCTGAGATCAAATTGAAATCTAAATTTGATGTTGTGATTTCGCTGATAATGATTACAAAGGTTGCTGTCGTTTTGGTCGTTTTAGCGGTTAAAATATTAAAATTGTGCCATTTAAGCCACAAGAAATCGATATGAATTTCATAGATTTGCCTTATGAAAAATAATGTCGACAAAAACATAATAAAACGGAGCAGACTGGAACCGAACCATGGATTACGGGTCCTTTGTCTGGATCACTTGTCTGTCAACGCTTGGGCTAATGGAATGGCTAAGGGCATATAAGAGCTACCTTATGTTAGACGAAAATCTTTCATAAGTCGCGATTATGAAATTATGTGTCGAACCTTATTAAATTTTTAAGTCTATTTGCCTCAGTGTAAAGGAACTACCACATGTTAAGTGGACCCTACACGACAGTTTGTATTGACAATAATCGTATTGTCAATACATTCGATATTGACGTCAATACATCGGTATTGACAATATTTCTGTATTCACATCATCAATATTACACCCCTCACCATCCCTTTCCAAAGAGGGAGTTTGGTAAAGAGAGATGAAAAAACCGATTTGTACCTTCCTTAAAAGTTGGCATAGCTCGCTATCTACTTTCTATATACAATTTTCACACTGCCGTACTCTAACGGAACTATCAACTCTATACTTTCATCTCCTCCATCTATGTGATTTATCGTCTCGATCGGAATCCAGCCACATCTCAACTGCTACGTGGTGGCGGCGTACTGATCGGTGTCAAAAAGAATTTACGTGGTAAGTTGGTTCCACTAGTTAATGCCAACTGTTTAGAGCAAGTGGCCGTGTGTGTTTCGTTGCCAATGCAGTCGGTCTACATATGTTGCGTCTACTTAAGGCCTAACTCGGACTGCGCCATGTACTCCAATCATGCATCTTGTGTTCAAGAATTGTGTGAGCTTGCTGAAACTACCGATATAGTCATAGTTTTGGGAGACTATAATCTGCCTAGACTATCATGGCAATTTGATGCCGACATGAATTCTTACATCCCGACCAACGCTTCATCTGAACAAGAAATCGCTTTGACCCAGTCGATCCTTGCATGTGGATTACTGCAAGTTCAGGATGTACGTAACGTAAACGAGAGATTACTTGACCTGGCTTTCGTTAGTGATACTGACAGAATCGAACTTTTCGAATCGCCCTGTGGAATTTTAAAACTCGACGCTCATCACAAATCTTTTATCATCAAATTTGACTAGGTACCGGGGGGACGACTCTATCTACGATGCAGGAAAGATTGTGCTTTTGCTATGGCTAGCTGCGTGCACGCTGAGTATATAGAAAGAAGATTGACGACGATTCTGAAGATTTCCTGCAAAAAGATGATGCGCGATGCAAGGAGATGCGAGAAATGAAAGAAGATTGTTCGAAGATTGATTCGCTAGTTGGAGATTTGTTAAGCATCTAGATTTGAGATTTAGATGTGTCGCCCCCCTCGCTAGGTACCTTCGTAATACTGACGACGTTGGGCTGGACCGCTGTTATTACGATTTCAACTTCTGCAATGAACCCCTTATTAACGCCCGGATAGGCTCGATAGACTGGCCGACGCTTTTGACTGATTGTGACGTTGACGATGCTGTTTTCCGGTTTTATGGTGCCATTTTCGATATCATCCACGAATATACTCCTATTCGATGACATTGCCTCCGTGTTCACTACAATCAACCATGGTGGACCACGGAACTTAGGAACCTCCGAAACAGGTTACGGAAAGCAAGGAAACGTCTTTTCAAACAACGGACTGAGGAAAACAGGCGATTACTTCACGACATGGAGGAACACTACACCAGCCGGTTGAACACAGTTTTCCATGAATATGTATTGCGCATTGAGTCGGAGGCAAAGCGGGATCCATCGTCTTTTTGGACCTACGTGAAGAAACTTAGGAGGAATGGCGGTATACCACTCGATATGTCCTATAAAGAAGCTCGTGCTGACTCCGCGGAAGAAGCTTCTGATCTCTTCGCAAAATCCTTCAAGGATGTTTTTTCGACTACCCCTCCCGCTCATTCTCCGGATGATCGTCGTGAGTGGATGAGCAGCATAGCTCATTACAACTTGCATTTGCCGCAGTTGGATGTATCTGTTGAAGAGGTGATGAAAGTTTTTTCATCTGTACATCCTTCTAAAGGCCCTGGTCCAGATTGTTTGCCGCCATCGTTATTTAAGAAATTTTCTGCATCTCTCACTTCACCTGTGTCGATTATCTTCAATCGTTCGCTAGTTAGTGGTGTTTTCCCCACAATGTGGAAGGTTGCGTCCATCACACCTATTCACAAAGCTGGAAACATCCACAACGTTGAAAATTATCGCGAAATTTCGATTCTAAGCTGCCTCCCAAAAGCTCTGGAGAAGATCGTATATGAGGTCGTATATCAAGCGGTTAGGCCAATAATTACCGAACATCAGCACGGCTTCGTGAGAAAACGCTCTAGAACAACCAACTTAAAGGTGTTTGTCAACTCGCTGATCAACTCCATTGAAAAACGACGACAAGTTGATGCGATCGACGTGGACTTCAGTAAGGCGTTCGATAGGGTTCCACATGTGCTTGCAGTGGACAAAATGAGGTGTATGGGATTACCTAATTGGGCCACGAAGTGGCTACAGTCTTACTTAACTGACCGCTCAGCCTATGTGAGCATTAACGGTGTTAATTCGCCTAGTTTCGAGATACCCTCTGGTGTTCCCCAAGGTAGCCATTTGGGGCCTTTAATTTTCATCCTGTTCGTGAACGATCTGTGTAGTCGACTGTGTTCTTCGAAACTTATGTTCGCCGATGACTTAACGATCTTTCGTACAATTAAGTCAAGACTTGACTGTTGCGCACTCCAGAAGGATATTGATTCCCTTTTGCGCTGGTGTACATTGAACGGTATGCAGGTTAATGTCACAAAATGCTGCGCAATATCTTTTAGGACTCAGTAGTTTGCTCTTCGTTTCTTCAGTTAAGGATTTGGGTGTTATCATCGACTTAAAGTCAGATTCAATGAGCACATCTCCATGATAACTGCTAAAGCATTCGCCACATTAGGTTTCTTGAAACGAAACACAAACGCATTCCAGGACATCT